AACTTTTCAATTATATCATAATATGTTTTTTCATGAAAATCTGTTCAGAGCTTCATGTAAAGTATCTCTTCTAGTTCATCAATTTTAGCCATAAGCATATATGCTCTTCTCATTCATATTAATTAGTCCTAAATATTAAAACTGAAAAAGCTTTGAATTATATTTTAATATTGTTTCTCATTAAAAACTCAGGGCTTTAAATAACATACCACTTCTGTTTGTCCAATTTTACACAAAATATAATCAATTCTTTATATAAACACAGAATGCTTAAAATGGGAAACAGAAATTTTTGGAAATTTGATATTAGAATTAACACAGATGAAAAAATCGTCACACATTTACAAACAGACAAACCTTATTGCAAAATAGTGTTGCATGTGTATGGGTTTATAATAGATTGAATTACACAGAACTGATGATAGCTTTAAAAATTTTATTTTACCCAAAACATTTCTTAATTCTGGAACTTTCTACAAAAATTTGTTTGTACAGTTCTTCACAGTATCTCAGAAAACAATCCATAATTACATTTTGAACTGCTAATAATATTAAACACAAAGTGCACCTAAAAGATGAAGCTCTCATGGATATCTCAGTACAGTACACACTCCGTAATCTGGACTCTTCGGGACTTCGGCGATTTCGGATTAGAGGTTTTTCTGGATTATAGATCATTAATTTAAATCTGCTAAGATGGCATGCAGAAATTATACAATTAAAATATGAAATCATAGTTTATGAAATAAAGAGCAATTATGATCTAAAGGGTATCAAAATTTGCAAAAAAAAAAAAAAAAGCTTAATATTTATTTGTTTACTTTATTAAACATTCATCACTTTGTCATGATCATCACTTTTAGCATAACAACCCCTTTTTCTGTTAGTCATTGCAAGTGGGGTGTCGGAATCCACAAAATATTCAAAAAGTTCCTTTTTCTTTATGCTTATGTCATATACAGTTGACTTTCCAATGTCATATTCCTCGCGGATATGCATAAAATTTTGAGACTTTATACATTTTTTGCAGCAATTCCACTTTTTGTTTGATGGACATCAAAACATGCTTTTGCTTTGTAGATCCTTTGACACTCCAGAATTTTTTGAAATCTTTTTGACATAATCGAAAGTTCAAGCTTACTTTTTATAAATTGCTCTAACATCTCCACAGTCTGCAAAAAATAATAAGATCCAATTAGAAAGATTAAGGAATAGCGCAATCTGCAACATTAACTGAAATACCTTAGATAATTTTAGCCTAGCTTATACCTAATGTGACCAGACATTCCATTTTAAACAGGACTGTCCCTTTTTACAATTACGAGTCCTGATGTCCCCGAAATGGAATGTGGGATGCAAAATTCTCCCATTTTCAGAAACCACGCAAAAATTTGAGTAGCAGATGGCCGGCCACCAACCTGCACGCCGCCGCAATGTGACGCCTAAACCAACCGGACGCGAGCTAGTGGTGTGCAAGAGCGAGACCGCGTCGTCGGCAACGCATTGATAGCCGAGAGTGGCCAAGACATCATATCGCTCGTGTTTTGTTGACTTATTGTTTGACAAACTTTTCATTTGCATACTTCTCGCTATTTGTTTTGTTTTTGTTTGATGCTCGTGTAGTAAATAATTTAAATTTCTTTTGCTTAGGAATCACAAGTTAAAATGCCGAAACGTAAGTGTTCGTTCAATGTTAGCTTACAAGAAAAATATCCGTTTTTCAAACCAATAAATACTCCATCAGATGTCAGATGTGAAAAGTGTCGTACAGAATTTAGTGTTTCTCACAGTGGTGGCGGCGATATCGAACAGCATTTAAAGTCTGACAAACATAAAAATGCCGATCGTGCCGCCTCTTCGAGTTCTTCATTGTTAAACTTTTTCAAGAAATCGGACGTGCCAACTTTTTGAAGGACTTGGATGTTGCTGCAGCGGAAGGTGTCTGGGATTATCACACGATACAAGAAAACCACAGTTTTCGTTCTAATGATTGTGCAGCAAAATTGACTCAATCATGTTTAGATCCCAAATTTACATGCACACGTACGAAATCAGAAGCTATTGCAGTAAATGTTTTGACTGCCTACAGCAATGAAAGAATTAAAAAATGACCTTGATAAGTGCAATTGTATTACAATACTAAATGATGACTCATGGTCAGACTGTATGAGCAGTGGACTTGCTTTCTTACCAAAATGATGCATCAAACCACGGTAACAAGAAAATATACCCCATTGTAGTGCACTTTTTTCATCCTTACATAGGTGTGCAAGTAAAAATTTTACACTTCTAAGACCAACCTGGTGAAACTTCTGACATCATTGTCAATTATTTAAACCAAGTGTTGACAGATAATAATTTGACAGCAAAAATCACAGCATTTTGTGGGGACAATGCCAACGTCAATTTCGGAGATGCAGTTAGCCGAGGAACTAACAATGTATTAACGAAATTACAATCATCTCTGAAAAAAGAATTAATAGGTATTGGATATGGAGCCCATGTAATTCACAATGCAATAAAATCTGCTGCAGATGGGCTACCCGTAGATTACGAAAGCATTATTGTGAAGATATATTCATTTTTTTATATTTATACAATTCGAGTTGAAGCTCTAAAGTAGTTTTGTGGCAAAACTGAAACGGAATATCAACAAATGCTCGGCTATAGCAAAACCAGATGACTTGATCTTATGCCTGCTTTGGAGAAGGTTTTAAAAATGTATCAGCCGTTGGAAAGCTACTTTTTGAGTATTGAAAAACGTCCCTTACTCAAAACACCTAACGTGAAAACTTTTTTGAAGATCCCACATCCAAATTGTAGTTTTATTTTTTACACGCTCAGTCAGCAAGTTTTTATCAAGCTGTCTTAAAACTTGAAGGTCAGACTGTATGGGCAATTGAAGCTGGAAAAGAAATCAATCAACTAAAAGACAATTTAACTCAGAAACAGACCAAACAGTTTCTTCCATTTATCGTCCATCAATTAATGTTAAAATTGAAAGATAGTGGTACTGATATCGAAGAAGAATTTGTGAAAAGAACGGCTACAGAATTTTATAAAACAAGCCGTGAATATCTGGAGCAGTGGACTTGCTTTCTTACCAAAGAAATGGAGATATTTTATTGGACAGATTTAAAAAAGGTCCCCACATGGGAAGACATTTAAAAATCTCTGGATGTAATTGAAAAGCAATATATTGACTGTAATAAAGATACTGAAGTTTTGATGAATTTTCATTAATTTCTAATAACATTACATCGCAAAAAATAACGGAATGGAATAATTTAAATGTTTCCATAGAAACCCATTGGGTGGAAGTATTCAAACACATTCGTGCCAACAATCTTCAGCATGAAAACTTTTCTATTATAATTGAATATATTTTATGTTTGCCTGCTACAAATGCTCCAGTAGAAAGAGTATTTTCTATTATGAACAAATTGTGTACATCTGAGAAAACCCAGTTACAAATTTCAGTTCTAAAGGTGATGTTGATAATTAAGGTGAATATAAAAAAAAGTGCCAAGAGTTTTATTCTTACTTGAAATCGTCACCAGCTATATTAAAACAAATTTGTTCTTCTGATAAAAATAACTAAATATTTTGGGTACCTATATTTTGTGATTCGTAACTTTTAAGCCAACTAACTTTTTCTGAATGAATAATTTTAAAAAAGTGTTGTTTTTTTCATTGACTACCTATGAATTGACCTAAATAAACCAATGTCACGTTTTGAGTCAAAAAATAAATGGTAACGTTACTTATACTGTTCGTTATACATTAAGAACGTGCATGCGTAAACGCATTATGTGCATGCATAAACGAATTTGCACATAAAGTTTGTAGCTTTGAGGTCCAGATTATAGATCATTCTGGATTAGAGACTTTGTACTGTCCTCTAAATGCAGCTTTGAACTAACAACTCCTGAGAAACTGATGCTCCCTCGGTCTTACTTAGCTATTCTTCAGCCACCGAAAAGATTTATAATACTTTCAATTTCTTGAAATTACTGGAAACTATAAAGAGCCAGATACAGTTACAGTTACACAGAGGATCAATAACACTTATATGGGAACTGGACCAAATTAGCATTAAGTTTGTCAAATTTTGACCATTTCTCGCCAAATTCGGCGACAAGATTCAGCTAAAGCCATCACCAGCCTAGCAATATTTCACTAATTTAGCGAAATAGCCTTTTAATCCATAGACTTGTTCCTATATTCTTACTTTTCTAGCAAAGCTTCGCTGTTGTCGGGAAAGCCCCGCTTTGTATTTTCGTGTTACATTACACAGACCCATAAAAATACTATTTCACATATAATTTGCTCAAAATTATTTAAATATGTACAAAAATCGTATCAACAGTAAATACATATTGTGAGGATCCTAATTCAAGTTTTCTCAATGAAAACTCATTACTGAATTTTTGAGCCAAAAACATAACCTCTCTTTTGTATGCATATAGGTTGGGGGAGATAAATTTGTTTTTGAAATATAACCAATAAAATCCAGTTTTGAAACATATCAAATTGGTGATGAACAATTAATTATTTGCAATAATAGCTTTAAATGTAAAAGACCATAGTCCAGGGTAGGTGGGTAAACATAAGCAATATCAAAAGCTGGCAATCATTAAAATAAAGTCATTCTGTCAATTTTACCATATTATAAAGGAATTTCTCATTTTGATCTTTTACTAACTAACAAAATGATTAACTCCAGTGTGTGTTCCAATGTACAATAAACAAATCTGAAAAATGCTTTGTAACAGAAATGTGTAGTAATGGTAAATCACAAAAGTATTGTATTTCATAACGAAAATGCTAGGCACAAGATCCAGTTATGTTAATTGCATAAGGCACAGCAGAAATAATAACATGTTTATTACATGATACAAACACTTTCCTTACAAGGAAATGAGAAACATATAATAATAAAAACATTTTATCTATTTAATAAAAAAAAACGAATGTTAATGTAAGAGAAACAAATATACCTTATATCATCAAAGTCTTGTGTAATTTTTTCAGTACTGTAAGCTTTAAACATTTTCTCCAGTTCTTGCAACTTTCTAACCACAGTCTCAAGTTGAATATTAAATTCCTCATAACTTATTTTTTTGTCTATCTTTTCACTGAGAATTTTGTTTGAATTTTCTAATTTGCTTTCCTAATAAAAACAAATAATTAACTATTATCCATGAGTCAGATAAAAGAAAAGTTAATGCTCTTCAATGCATGCACTGATTACTGTCACAGTTAATAATTAATCCTTCATTAATTCAGTAAGATAACAATACACCAGTGACATCAATTACTATACCAATAAGCCAAAATGTTTACAATGGGAAAAAGCTTTTGAAAATAACAGAAATGCATAACAATACATTAATACACACACACACAAAAGAAAAAAAAAATCACAGAGCAAAATTCAGATTGATTATAATTTGCATAGCATGGCTTCAATACAGTACTTTTGATTTCAGTTACCTGTGGTTTATTTAGGATAGCCATTTCAAACTCAGTACCTCAATAGTCATCATTTTAAATAGAGCAGATTACAAGAGGGGAAGCCAAATGATGTTTATAAAAAGTGAGTAAAATCCTGCCTAATATTGCAGTTTTTTTAACAGAACAAACAATAAGAAAATACCAGTAGTAGATAGATATCTAATGTTTATTTTCTGGCAGCTGGCATTTCCCACCTCCTGCAACAAGCTTTCAAATATCTGGAACACATCGCTTGCTCTAGCTCATTTTAGAAATCAAATGTTAACACCTGTTAACTTGATCTTATTGTGGACTTGTTCTCTTTCATAAGTGAGAAAGTTGTTCACACTAATAGGTACTAAGGAACATAGAAATTATGCACAAAATTTGTGACTTTTTGGAAACCATACAATCAGGTATTCTTATAATTCCAGAATACTCATTTCTATGAATTGTTGCTTTACAGTTCAGTTCAGTTTACAGTTCAGTTTGAATTTCTGTTAATAGCGCCTGTAAATAAGTGCACTTTGTCAGTGTTGGTTAAGGAATTATTTTTTTAAGCATATCATCTCAAGAGTTCTTTTTGATGCCTGACTTTGTATACCACATTTATTCACAAATTTCTCCTTCTCACACTCTTCCATTATTTTTTATTTCATCATGTGATTTATGGTAACAGTGTAAAATGCGTGCAAAAATGGAAAAATTGGTACTTTTCCATTTCGCCAAGCAGATTTTATTGGCGACAATATACAGTATACACATAAAAAATGTTAACAAATGTTAATTGTACGAACTTTTTATTTTGAAGGCATAAACATTTTAATAGCATTTAAAATTCTGTAAAAAGCCAATAAGTAAAGACAATATAATAGGTACTAAGGAACATAGAAATTATGCACAAAATTTGTGACTTTTTGGAAACCATACAATCAGGTATTCTTATAATTCCAGAATACTCATTTCTATGAATTGTTGCTTTACAGTTCAGTTCAGTTTACAGTTCAGTTTGAATTTCTGTTAATAGCGCCTGTAAATAAGTGCACTTTGTCAGTGTTGGTTAAGGAATTATTTTTTTAAACATATCATCTCAAGAGTTCTTTTTGATGCCTGACTTTGTATACCACATTTATTCACAAATTTCTCCTTCTCACACTCTTCCATTATTTTTTATTTCATCATGTGATTTATGGTAACAGTGTAAAATGCGTGCAAAAATGGAAAAATTGGTACTTTTCCATTTCGCCAAGCAGATTTTATTGGCGACAATATACAGTATACACATAAAAAATGTTAACAAATGTTAATTGTACGAACTTTTTATTTTGAAGGCATAAACATTTTAATAGCATTTAAAATTCCGTAAAAAGCCAATAAGTAAAGACAATAAATTTGTAAAAAGACACTAAATTAAGAATTTACTATATTTTCATGGTTCAACATCCTGATTTGCGGGTTCATATCATGTGATTCCAAGTGATCTCATGTCACGTTTACTACGCTGCGAAATTTAATTCTTTCAGTAATTATCTACATTAATTTCAAATTAAATCTTAATTTGGAATACAAGTTTAATGCCAATTTGTATGATTAACTTACTCAGTCCGAAGCTATGTAAAACCGCAGTGCTTTACTTCGCTAGTGCATTCTCATTAGAATTGATGAATTTAACCCTTGACTTTGCCTTTTTTTATATTTTTGCTCCCGGGTGAGTGATGTGATTGCATCCTAATTGACTTAATTACCGCAAATAACCTTATGGCATAAAATTGAACTATCTAGTAAAATTTATATGCAATTGTATGCCAGTATTGAAATAAACAATCAATCTGATACGGCTGCGACTTGTTTTGAAAATGAGGCGTAAAAGGTTACCAGCAAGGATATTCCGTTTGGCATTAGTTGTACCATTATTGAAGACTTTATCACCTGCGCCGGCAGAACGGAAAAGTACCGAAAAATATTTCGTGCAAGTAAAAAGAATAATATTAAAATTGATTAGTCCTTTAAAACAGCGGTTGTCAACCCTTAAAACTTCATGGACCGCTACATATATAATTTTTATATTTGGTGGACCACTAACATGAATTACAAAGAAAATGTAAATACATTTATACAATAATAATCAGCAAACTACACATTTTGCTCGCATTGAAAAATTGCATGAAAAGGCAAGCAAAAAGTAATATCAATAAACTGATAGTGATATGCCACCAATTTTTAATTATTGTAAACATAATAGTGAAATTTATCAATGTTACAATGTTCTAAAAAATTGTCGAAAAATTCCCAGATCTCAGAATTAAAAATTTTCTATAGAAACTCATATTAAAATTGCCAAGATGTTGATAAGACGACAAATTTAGAGCAATTTAATAAAAGAATTCACATCCCGAAAAGCTGTTTAAGAGCTCTTCACTAGAAAAAATGAAATAATTTCGAAATGCTTATTTTTCACTTCTTGCTCAGTTCTATCCCACCATTTATATTAGTAATAGGAACAAATTATAACCCATGAATCCATTCACCCATTCAAAAAATAACGATATTTGTCAGCAAATTGCCAAAAATATTTCTCCAAAATGCTAATTCACACTCAAAAAGGCAGTCATAAAAATAGGCAGAAATTTCAGATGATCAAAATTAAGGACCTTCTGCCAATTTTGGCCAAAATTAAGGACTTTTAAGTACCAAAAATCGATTCCAAAAAATTTATGGACTCTTAAGGACCGTACGAACCTGTGTTTTATTTCATTATATGTACCTATATTACATTAATATCACTTCATATATCGTATTATTATTATTTATAGTAATGTCCTCTGGGACCATTTATTATGCTTAGTGAAATCTATAGTCAAAACACCTTTCAGAAAAAAGCACAAATGAATTCAATTCTCAATTAAGATCCCTCTAAATAGGCAGCACAGAGGACCAGAGTTCAGTCACCTTCCTCTTTCGTATCTTAAGTAAAATGAGAAGGCCGATCTTTTAAGGCAGGGTTTCTTAAACTGTGAGTCGTGGGATCTGCAGCAGGGGGTCACCAAAAATTTTAGCTGTTTTGATATTTCCTTAACTTATTACAACAATTTTACAATTACCAAATATTTTTACACAGTGTATCTGAAAATAGATAAAGAAAGATAAGACAATACAGACAAAGAAAAAATGAAAACGTTTCGATGCATTCTTTTTATAATATAAACGTTCATTTACCTTGCTTTGCATGTGATGCTGTTATTTCATCAGGTACTTATTTAAAATTTTCACATTGTTCTATGTCTTAAAATTAGAAATTAAAGTTAATGACCTAAAACTGCAATAGTATATTACAGTGCAAGTGAAAAAAATTGACAGTTTCACTCTGTGTGTGTGTGTTGGTTTTGCACAAAACATTTGGGGCCCCACAAAATTTTTGTAAATATTATGGGGTCCTGGGGGGTCACAAAAAATCTCAGCGATAAAAAGGAGTCATGACTGAAAGAGGTTTAAGAAACCCTGTTTTAGTGCGATGGTTTAGGCCAGCAAGCCTTTCTGAAAGTATGGAACTCCTAAAATAGGGCCCAAAGATTGTATGTACCTAGAATGATCTCTTTCTGCCTAGTATGGAGCTTATAGATATCTCACAATTATCTTTATTTTCAGGAACTAGAATGGTTATAGCTCTGCTTGTACATGTAAATCATGCCAATTTTCAAACATATTACCAACTATTACATTTATAAAATTTTTTACACATTATTTAAACCCTTTCTGGCAAGCTACCTTTTAAAGTAGGAATTTTGATTTAAAAAAAGTAGGCAGTTTAATTAGGCTTAGAGAAGTACACAAGTACAATTTTGTAAAGATAGCACTTACCGTTTTAATTCTGTGGGTGTGCCCAGAGCAGACACACTGATTGAATAGAGCTTCGAAAAGAGTGCTGAAACGAGCATTGCTGGGAAGCGCGTAAAAGAGTAAGGGATTTTGCTTACGATTAAAAAACACTAGATTCTAATTATCATAGCAGATTTAGCATTATCCAGGGTGTGCTACGGGGAGATCTGCTACTCTACACTCTCCTAAAAAGCTCATTTTTGGTTATATGATGATTACATGTTTATGAATAGAAAAAAAAGTAACTTGGGTATATGATATTTACATCACAAACATTTCATATTTACATTTTAGTCTATCTTTTTCATTGTGGTGCTTTTTGAACAAAGTGCCACCACCTTTGAAAAAGCATAACCCAATATTGCATGTTTTGCATATGTGCTGGGATCTGTATCAGATTCACTATCTGAAAGCAATTCGTGTACCACTTTCAGTGCTCTAGAAATGGTCAGCCCTCTCTGATCCGTTTGGAAAACAATTAAAAATCCGAAAAAATAAACTAATATTATATCTACAATTTGAAATTATAAACTGTAAAATAAAAATATGTCTACCTTTCAAAACTATTAAACATAGTGCTAAGAAAACTTCTTTGAACCAAAGCGAAAGATAAAAAGAGAACTGCTCTAGTGAAAAACCAAACAGCTAACTGATAAAATTATCCCTGACCTTCAGAAAATCACCCCAACAATTTCTTAGTTGATAACCAAACCTCCTCTCCCCCTCCCCCCCCCAAAAAAAAGGAAAAGAAGAAAGAGAAAAACAGGAAATGAAACACAGATGTGAACTCACCTTTCTATGTTAATAAGTTAACCGATGAGCTGCAGAGAAACAAAGATACAGCTGCCTCTCAGTGAGCCCAGTCTGCGAACACCTCGGTTCGCCATTCGATTTTAAGACAGATTTCAAGGTAAAGATTTCAAACTAATGTAGAATAAGGAGATTAGCATACAGCCAAAAAAAAACATAAAAATTTCCTTTCAAACAGTATACAAATAGTTTTTACTGTATAAACACTTTTTATACAGTAAAACAAATCTGGAAGATTTCGTTGAAAAATGAGGGTCTTAAAAAACTAAACATGGCTAAAATATACGGACTGGTTTGTGTTGAGCTCTCAAAAAGACTATAAGACTATAAATAAAGAAGGTTCAGAGTACCTATAGTAACCTTCAAATCCTTTTTCATTCAATTTTTCTGTGCGTACAGAAGGAAATTTTTAGGTGTGCCACAAAGGGTTAAATGCTTTTCATGCTTGGAATAGCTAAACATTTCTAGCCATAATTCTACCCCCAACTCCCTTATTTAACAATTTACTTATGTTCCTGATTAGTCCTATATTTACAAATTAAAACCGATGTTTCATATTGTTATGGATTTTGTATATATGTAAAAAATTCTGATAAAATTATTAAAAAAATTGTAATATCTCTTGCATAATGTAACATGAAAGGCTTCAAGAGTGCAAAGTATACTGGAAAAAAAAGGGTTACAGGGATATGTCCATTTAACATTGAGATAAATGGCTATCTTGTCACCAAGCTGGCAATGGTTTTGGCAACTAATTTTTGGTTGTCAAATTTAAAAAGATCATGAAATCAGTAAATTTTGTTTGCAAAACAATAAATCACAAAATTTCCAAAAATTTGGAAAGATCGAGAAATTGCTAAACTTTTGGTGATATTTAGGTCCTATACCTATGTAGCTGTAACTGGGCCGATCCTTACGTAACTGTAACTATATCCAGAGCTATGTAAATGCGATTGTATGCCTTTCAGGAATTTTATGAAATCAAAGGTGCTGAAAATCTCTTGCCGCATAGGGCGACCAGAGAAAGCATCAGTTCAGAGTTTTGAGAGCACTAAGAGATCATTGCATGAGCTTAGGCATTTGAAGCTTTTTATATTACACCGTGCTTAACGTTCTTAGTGGTTTGAAATGGTAACTACTGCTTGTATTCTGTCATACTGAAAAGAGCTGTATGAGTACTTTTATGAAACGTTGCAGAACCGTAAAGTGTTTCTTTTGGGAAAATAAATTTTATCATGCTATCATCGGTTCTGTATGCATTCAATCCATTATGAACTTGTGCATGTAACAATGTAAATCTAAGCTCTGAAATATATATTTTGGTTTGAGGGTTTTATGAGAATCACATTTTAGATACTCTTTTTTGATATCTTGAGGGAGATCTAAATTGTCTCTTTTTATTGTTTTTTTCTCTCTTAAGAAAATTCTTTCTTATTACAATCTTTTATAAGTTCACTAGCTGCTACATGCTCCCCCCCCCGAAAAAAATGCATCACATATTTAAAAATTTACAATGAAATAAGCAATATCCCTTGATAAAAAAATTAAATACCCTAATAAATAAATTAACCCACTTCCCATTGCAAACCAAAGCAATGTATGAAAAATTGTTGCCAAAACCACATTTCTAAAAAAATGAAACTATCATCAGAAAGCAATAACCAATCAAAATTGTGCTTTGTGGATAACATAATTCACAATATACAAACCTCTTTGCCATTAGCTAATAAAGAGAAAGAAAAAGGAGATTATTTTTGTTGTGCCTTGCAAGACACATACGTGTCAGAATAAGAAGATTGCGATGTGTGTGTTGCATGTCCAAAAATCAAAAGAAAATAAGCAGCATGAAATAAGCAATATCCTTAATACAAATCTTGATTATCCTACCAAATAAATTAAATAACTTCACATTGAAAAAAAACCCACATGCTAAATTTTTCAGTATCTTAAAAACAGTGAAAAAGGCAATAAATATTTTATCTCATAATTTCGACTGTCAGCAGTGAAGTATACAAAGCATCGAATGGAAAACTGCTGCCAAAACCCCATTTCTAAAAGAATGAAACTATTCAAAATGATGCAATTTCATCAATAAAGATAAAATTTAAAAAAATCTGATTCGAATTTTGTAAAAATCGCTTCAAGGTGCACTGGCACTTGTATAGATGCACCAATGTACTAAATTTCGTAGCTCTCCGTCTATTAGCTTATGCGCAGCACAAATGAAAGACACACACAGACAGACTTTTTCTTTTATTATATGTAGAGATTAATATTTTATTCATGATAAATCAACAGTAGATCATTCACAATTTAATACACAGCTTCATTAAAAAAATTAAATATCATGGAAAGAATATGTTTATGGTTTCATGACACTATAAAATGCAAAATAAGATTGGCAAAATTAACCTGTGCAACATTTCCCAGTGATACAGACCTATAAAACATATTATTTAATAAAATACCGTGAAAGCAATTGAATACATTAATATTATATAAAAATCTTAATAAACCTAATACTAGAAAAGAGTATTAAAATATAATACCAATGCTACTAAATCTGTAGATGTTGCCAAACACAACTTCATAATTCTGTCTTCAACAGCTGTTAATTCATTGAAGCTCACTTTTTTATTTACAGCATAAGCTTCAGCTTTCTAGAAAAGCAGATATAGAAAAAAGCATTTATCAGATTTCTACAAGTTTTCTTAAATTTCATATAAAATACCATATTAAATAAAATCCAATGACTTGGAGCTTGAAAATTAAAATACCCATAATAATTACCCAAATAAATAACAAATGCTTAAAGTAAAATATTACGTCCCTTTTTTAATATGTTTCCAACTGCACAATTTGGGGTAGGATTAAAAAAGAATTCTTTTTTCATACCATTTCAAGTTTTCTGTTCCTTGATACTGTATATAATGGTCATGACAATGAAGCTTTATAATCAAGTGCAATGTATAAGGTGGTGATGGTGGTGGTAGAATTAATGGTGCATAACCAGAAAGGTTATATGTGCCAAACACATGGTAGCACAATGTATAAGAAAAACATGTGAAACAACATATCCTGCTATAATACATAATATAGCTAGGGAAGTTATTTGAAGAAGTTTATGAAATATTTAAAAGAAAGTCTCTAAAGGTGTTTATCATCAAGGATATTTAAATCAATTTAAAATGACTTACATAATGAACGATCTTAAAAAAAGAATTCAAAAGATCTGGAAATCTCTTTTAAATTGTGGTTGCATTATTAAATGATATTTAATGCATATCATTAAAACAAAGAAACAGTCCCCCCCTCCCCCAATTTTCATACTGGATAGTTTTCTTTGCTACACACACAGAGAAGAATGAAATATACAAGATGATGAAATATGTCACACAACTAGCCCAAGTAGTGAGAAAAGAGTCAGAATATTTTTATTTTCTTTTTAACGGGATAGGTGGTAATGTTACAATTGTTCATCATGATACGGCACATGAATTACCACTATTTTCATGTGCTTGGTTTGAAATGTGAAGTTTTTACTAAGATCAACAGCATAAAGAATTTCTTGTAAAAATGTAGGAAACATTGCAAACAAAAATGAATTCTTATATGATGAAGGATTAACACGTTGACTGCCATGAGGGTCACTGGTGGCTGGCACTCGGCTACAGCGCCGTTGGGGGCCACCCGTGACCGGCGATGCGACCAACAATAAAAATACATAATTAGAGTAAATATCGATACTAATAAATTTTTAAATAACACACTGTTACTATAATGGTTTGAAGAATAACAAATTGCAAAAACTTAAATAATAAGTCGCAAAAATTATCCACAGCGCTTCGGGGGTCACCGGTGACCCCCACCATGAAAAATACATTAAACACATTTATATAACTCATCTCATCTTCCGTAGATAATATTTAAACATAATACACATCGCATAGTAAAAAAAATCATATTAGGCCCATGGGCAAAACACGTAAAATGCGCACGGCACCCAGCGTGCTAATTAAAGCATTTCATACTCCTGTAGCAGAGTAGTGATTCACAATTCTTCCTATGTTTCCCAACTTTACAAAATACTTGATTAATGTTTTTATTTCCTCTATTGTTTGCATATTAGCAAATGTTCAAGAAGGGGGGCAGCAACTCATACTGGGCTACTACTGTAGAGCATCAAATAACTGTAAATTTCATTCCTTTAGTTTTGTAAATGTTGAAATGGTTGTGATACAGTAAAAATAACTCAGATTTATAATTAAATTATTTTTATTTGAAAAATGGTTAAAATGCTTAAACAAGATACATGTTAAGTTTTTAAAACATCGTACTTTGAAATTTTTTTAAAAAGTGAAAGCAGAAATTAAAAAATGAAACATAGTTTGACAATTTCAGTTCTGCCAAGATATTTTAGATTCTGAGAAAGTAATTTTTATTTTTAATAGTATGTACAAAGTCCAAGATCCAGAGCCAAAGGGACTTGAGCAATTTTGGTTTCAGAAATTTCCAGATTTTATATCATCAATTCAAATCTACTAACAGGTAGAAATTACAAAATTTAAAATATGAAATAGTTGTTTATGAAATAATGATTATTAAAATTTACGGGAAAAAAATGTTTGTTTCTCTTATGAAATATTTCTGTCAATCAAATTCTTTTTGTACTTAACAACCTTGTTGTCACTTTCTTCACTATTGATAGCAATGTTTTCTATATTTAAAACATAATACAGACTTCTCCTTAACAATATCACCAAACAGTGCAATATAAGCATGACATCACAATACATTCATAAGAACTGCAGCCTCAATAAGAGAATGGCCAGTGCTTGCCATCATGTTTAAGCTTATATGTAGCAGACCTATGTTACTTTTCTCATCGTCTGCATGTTACATAATATGCATTATCAAATATCGCTAAATGTTTAAAACACGATGCGCACAAGTCAGTGCAAGTTGGTTAGCAGGCAAACCTAAAATATAGAAGTAGGCATAGCAATAATTTGATATTTTAATCTATTTTTTCGAAACACAAAGAGTGCAGATTTAGTTTTTACAGAAATTCAAACTACATTCTTGTAAAAAAAATAATAATGTTTTATTCATTAACATTAAGAGAGAGGTGCTATTAAAGTCACAACAAGGGCTGTCCAAAACCAGGACCCAAGGAAATGAGAAAGAGTTGCTTTGCTTTAGCTTAAAAATGGTTGAATGCATCAGGTCCCTCTCATTAGAAGTCCAAATAAGAACTTCACTTTTGTTTTATGTAATCATGATCTTTAGTAAGACACACTAGATTTTGTAAGGAAATTATTTTATAACCTACTTTTTCTCTGTTAATAATGTTTTTAAAAAAGGATTAAAATATGGGACCAGGGTTCGTACACATTTCTGCACACAGAAATTAAGTACCTTTAAGGACCATTAATGAAAAAAATTAAAGACCTATGAGCAAATGGGAACTGAATAAATTCAATTAAAAATATTATCTATGCCTGAATTTCACTTTTGTAATACCATTCTAGAAATAAAATATTCTACGTAGTACATTATTACTAACGAATTATTACATATTATTAATAAGTTTGAGAATAAAATAAACTTTATGTAATTTATCAGTAGCATTAAATATTTTAATTTATAATAGTTGTACAATGAAAAAGATAGTGACATTTACGTTTACTAACATTAGCTTTATGTGATTTTTTTATGTCTCATTTTGTCCACATACTTGGTCAGTCTAGAGTTTTAACAAGCAGCAGATTTTATACAACTGCAAGTTAAAATAAAAATAAGATCATATTCAGCATGATTCATAACAAAAGATTAAATGTTGTCACCACTGCTGCTGTCTAGAGGAGACCTGCTGATTAGAACAAACCTGAACCTGATGTAGGCAGTTGGCAAGTGTTGAAAGTCAGTCAGGCTCTGTTTGAGCAGTTAGTGTCGTAGCTTCGTGTAGAGTTCCAGGACCTGTAACCCAGTTAATATACTTTAAGGTAAGTGAAGCCATGATGGCAGACCAGCGGTGATAAATTGCTTTGTACTATTTTAAGTCTCACTAGATGAAAAGAATAAGTTTTACTTGAATTTTTACATTTTGTATTTTATCTGTGACCACAGTGAGTATTAATGAAAGGCAATAACTCTCTTTAAGTTGTACAGATAATTTTTAAGTAAACAGTTAGTTATCAGTAATTAAATTAGGCAGTTTAATAACCTTAGTCATTATGGATTTACATAGCCTACTAAATATTATTTTTAACATATTTGTTTAAAAAATCCTATTAAAATCAAAATCTAATAAAATTTCACAGTTTAAAATACTGTAGTTTATGACATTGATTCTTAACGATATTAGGACAATTACACTTAAAGCTACAAACATTTATGTTTTGTAACTTTTCAGTTTGACAAAATCTACCTGCTTTTACTAAACCTCTAGACGACCAAGTATTGACAATGAGACATAAAAAAATCACAATAAGCTAACTGTTAGTAAATGTAAATGTCACTTATCTTTTTTTCAATATGTACATTATTTAAAGTAAATTTTAATGCTACTTGACAATTATTGTTACAAACATTTAGTTTTGTAACAACACACTCAACAACAATTTATCCCGCATTTATTGAAGCCTTTCCAGACTTTTGGCTAGTTTATATGGATTTCCTTCCTTTAAGTACCTTTTCTAACAATTAAAAAATTTGTCTCAATACGCAAACCAATGCTCTTGCCAGTTTCTGCGTGCTTTATCTCTTAACTTGTCAACCTCTCCACAATGTACCTATGAGGGTTTACTTCATCTGGTCAGTTAACAGTCCAAAAACCCCCGACAGACATGAAGCATATTATCGCTATGTCTCAAACTTCAATATCAGACAAAGGTTTAATTAAGCCTCTTATTTAAAAAGAACTTAAAACATAAAGCATGTTCTATGCTAACAAAATCGATTACAGCTAACAGAGCATAATTAAACAAGAACAGTCAAATTCCAAAAAAGTGGATTAGTGGTCAAAGATTATACAATTAAATTTAATCTGGCTCAGTAACTCTATCATTGAGGAAATAGAAATGGGAATTATATACGGCTGCACATATCTCTGAAGAATAATTTTCCTTTATGTATTCGTCTTCTTTAAAGGTTCCTTTTCATTTTAATTTTTTGGATTTAATTAAGGTTTCAGTTATTCAAAAAATACTAAATACAATTAGAAAGTACAGAAAAGGTGGCTAATTTTATTTCCTTAGTAATATGAACATTCCGAAGAATATGAGATTGTAAGGCCGGTTACAGAGCTGATGCATAATTTAAGAATTTAATGACACCCCCCAACACAAATCTAGAAATGGCAAAATTTTAGAATTAGCAGTATTGAAAGCATTGTACAGGCACTAGGCAACAATTTAGGACCACAGAGATTGCATCGAGTGGGAAAAATGCCTAGTGCCAGTTATGTGTGGTGCTTAAGACATATTAGATTAATCTTTTAAATGTAAGTTTTCATTTTCTTATAATAAAAAACCCTTCTATAATGCCTCCCAAGTGATAAGATTAAAAGCATTTTTGATATTTTCCATGCTGGTGTCTAGTGAAAAGTAGAGAAATAAATGAAGATAAACATTTAGGTTCAGAAGTAAAACATCAAATATTAGGTTTTCATTGTTCTTCCAGACTTCTCAGTAAGCATTCGTTGCAAACTTTCATAAAATACATCCATTACATGTGATACCATGGAGACAGTTTTCATTTTGTCACATATTCTCAATCTTCTAAATCGTAGCTCTATAAATCTTGCCTTCAAATCCTTCTAAACTTCCAAACTGCAATGTCTAAATCCTAAGAAAAATTATCCCCACCTCTGTAACAGCAAAAGGCCAGAAATATTTTGGGGAAAAAAAGGGGGAAGGAAAAAGGGTAAAATTAATTTTATAGAGAAAAATTGATGCACATTCTGAGACAATTACATGGGGAAAAATGTTACTATGAAAAAATTAAACAGAAGACATTTTTAATTAATTATACAGTCAAAAGTCGTTAATCCAGACTCGTCGGGACTTCCGCGATTCCGGATTATCGATCATCAGTTTAAATCAGTAAAAATTTACGTATTATGCGCTTGCGACACGCAGAAATATAAAATAAATATAAAGAATTATGAATAAAGAACAATTATGATCTAAAGGTATCAAATTTACAAAAAAAAAAAAAAAAAAAAAAAAAGCTTATGTATTTGTTTACTATTAAACATTTCTTTCAATGTAAGTTGTTTAGTTTGCTTGTGTTTTACGTGTATACTTTCTTTAATTCATATAAACGACATAAGTTCTTGTTCAGTACAAAGTCTGCTGTTCAAGTCCTATAATGGTGTGTCGAGAATACCGTGTCAATCAAATTTTTTTCGTTTTCAATAACCTCTGTGTCACTTCTTCACTATCGGAAGCATTATAATTACAGGAATTTGATTTAATCATATCAAAGACGGAAGTACATCGAGATGAAATACTACATTTAGTAAGGTATTATAAGCCAAATAAAATTAAAACATCTGCCTAAAGATAAGGATAGTGCTGACAGATCAACTTCCAATTCATTAGGTGCCGCAAATGAAGAGAAAAAAATTCAACGAAGAGAAAACAGTCTACTGAGGAATTAAGAGTTTCTATCATCTGCAATTCTCTGGATATAGTTTGAGCTGAAATCTGTTGGAAAGAGCCTTGGTTGACAATCGTGTCAGTTGAAGCACAGTAGAGTCCTTTTTCTGCAGTACAAGTCATCAGAGATGCCACCGATCACTCTCTTGGAAAACAGTGCTCAAACTGCAGTTACATCTTCTAGAAAAGAACTGTGGGTTCTGATTCCAGCTTTTTAAAAACCTTTGATATGGCTGCTTTTGAGAACTCAGTGACATTTGCTGTCTTCGAAATTGAAGCCCCTGCTAAACAGGCACCAACAATAAGCCTTTTTTCAAATGGTGAATGATCTGTCGTTTTTCCCATTTTACTTCATTCATCATGAAAAGCACTCTTACACCTTACTTATACTAGCATTCTAACCACATGTAATCCCCGCCACAAAAAAAATTGCATACTTCATTCCTAGGATGCATTCAAATGAAAATCTCAAAGGTTCAATCTATGTCTAATTCATTGGCCAGTGTGTGAATTACTGTGAACTTTCTCTGATCACAGAATACCTAGGTTAAAAAAACTTGAGAAATGCATTTTTATACAAATTATACTTCAAATTCCTTCAGACTGCAAACGGGTCATGATTTCATGGCACATCATCTTAATAAAATTGGCATCTCTCCGTCTAGTATATGCTACATTTGCAATTCAGGCATCATGAATGCAGAGCATCTTATATGCCCAGAACTAGATAAAGAGTCTCAGAAATGTGGTGAGATATGTAAACTATATTGGAATGCCACAGCTTTCATGAACTCCTTGTAAAGACTACATCTGTTATGTTCTTTTTCTTGCTGTTTAAATTTTTAACTTTTTACTTTTGTTTCCATGTTCATTTATTCTGATTCTACTTTATAAATGTTTGTTCTTTTTTATTATTCATCATTGTTCATCTGTGATACTTGAGCTGTTTTATATGTTTGGATTGACATTTCCAATAAAGCCATATGTAACAACATACTTCAAATTCATTATATAAAATAATAAATTTTTAGTACTAAAAATTTTAACAAAAAAAATATTTACCAATTTCGTGCCTCTGCAATAAAATCCAGAATCATTATTAAGCAATTGCAGAATAAAATAAAATCACAATTTATATTTAAATTTAATATTTAATATTAAGTAATTATTTTATTTAATATAGTATAAAGTAAATTCCATACTCGAGCAGCTGATCTTTAATCCATAAATCCAACAGTGATTTAGTTATCCTTTTAAAGCCTATAGATTAGAACAAATTTTAAAAATAAGTAAATTAAACTAAACTATTATATTATGACAGGTTTTGTTCTATTTATAATAAAAGAAAACATATTCAAGTATTTGTGATAAAGTCCCACATATGGCATGCATTTTTAAAGGAATATATTAGAATAATTTCATTAACATATAAATTCCACTTCATCTATTGAGTATAATTTTTTAATGACCAATAAGTCAACTTACTTTCTTACTTCATATCATCCTCTATTATTTGAGAGTTTGAGTCTTTAATGTTGAGTCTTTTATTAATAATCTGCATTTGTTTTTCTAAATCATCAACTTTTTTCTTCAAAATGGGCTTCATTTCTTCTGAAAGAAAAGAAAATATAGTTATCAAAGATACCTTAGGTTTTTATAACAATCTCTAAAAAGTTATCAAACAATTATATATTTTCTGAATGAATAGGAAAAAGTTTCATGGTCATGAAAACTTCGCGCTTGTTATCAATTAATGAACTATCAAGTCTCATAATTAAGATTTTAAATTATTAGTGAATTAATTAATAACAAATAAAATTTTTTAATATTGCATAACTACATAATTACATTTCCTGAGAAGCTGCTGGTGTTTCTATATAAGAATAATTGAGCTTATTTTCATTATATATTCTCAAAAATACTTTGATAAACTGAGGAGGGGAGCAAAGAAAATCTCTTCATATGAGTCATGGATAAGAACGCCCTCCCGAGTTTTCAAACTTTATTTCATCAAATAGCTAGAGTCAACAAATGCATTAATTATGATATTAGCATTTTGAATACAATGCCTTGAATAAATAAATTTAACAGTTTTTAATCTTACTGTTTTGATGAAGAAAAATAATTATAATTACCAACATTCAAAATTTAATTTAATCTTTCTTATAACAATACTTCGAAGATATCGCAATAAATTATATCTGTACGCAGAGCGGGCAGAATTATGCATACGCAAAAAAGAGCAGAAACAAAAAAAGAGAAAGAATGTTAAAAACAAGGACAAATGCTGACAACAGAAGATTAAAAAATGTTCACGTGACCCTCCCTCCAAAAAAAAACTAATAATATTAGTGAAGCACAGAAAAAATGACAGATATGTGAAAGGAGAACTTATAAATGTAAGAAATGCTAATGATGATTTGAATTTCAGAACCAATATTAAGACGATGAACTTCCTAAATTATTGATTAAAAGCATATGATATTTATTTGTTATGTGGAGAAAGGACATGGACTCAATGGACTTAAAAGCAAATGATACTTATTTGTCATTGAAAAAAAAAAAAGAAATTAACTTATTGAACTATTTATTAAACGGAAAAGAAAGAGTTGCTCACAAATCACAACATTTATAAATTTGATATTAAATATATATTTATTCTTTTCCTATCATTAGAATTAATTCAATCAAAATAATTGTGTTATGCACAATTATTTATACATGGAATAAATATTAATCTCAGGCAAAGAGCAGTTTAGTGTAGCAAACCATTTGAATATTTCTTGCTCTTCATAGAATATATTAACCCATTAGGCACCACATTACCTTTCACTTCAAGGAAATAAACAAAAATGACATTTTTGATGTATTCAAGTTCAATCAGGAGAAAAAAAATTTAAAGGAAAAAAATATTAATTTTTATTAAAGATACAAAATGTTACAAAAACCTAATGCCAGTCAGGTTGCTTGTGGATACAGTTTTTTTTTTTCCTATTTAATTATTTATTTTATTTATTTATTTATTATTTTTTTTTTTGAGTACCTTTTGGTCACAGAAGGGAGACAAACTTTATCAAAGTTAATTGGCATAGCTGTGACGGAATTGTCATTCCACTGAAATATTGCAACGCCATGCTCTTTATCAAATGCAATATCATATGTTCCACATTTTGTTTACAGGTATAATAGGACAGGTTCCTAATCTGTTGTTGAAATATATCTACTGATTTTAAGGAACTTCACCACACTTGAAAGATCTTTTACAACATCTTAACCTAGTCCATGATCAGTCAATATCTTTGAAGATTTTCCTGACCACATATCAAAATGAAATAAGTACTCTTCATAGGAACATACAATACCAAACTTTAAAAGTGAAACAAATGGATTTTCCTTTGAGAAACATTTTGCATGAATGTATACTAAAAAAATGTATCATTTTCTCATCTACAAAAAGATATGTTGGGGGGGAAAAAAAAAAAAAACTCATATTGCATGAAATTCACATTTAAAATATTTAAACAGAGATGAAGCTTTTGCCAGTTTTTCGGTTTCATACAATGGATTACAATAAACTAAATTTAATTTTTGCTTGATACTAGTACATGGAGAAAGTGTCATTGATGCACATACTGATGGATTCTTTGTCGACAGGCATTACTGATTGTGCAAGAGAACAATTTCTCCAAGCAATTTCTTTTTTTTTAGACGATTCAGAATTTTTTCTATCATTTTTTGATGAATTCTATACATTTTTACATGTTTTAAATGAATCATTACTAAATCTTTTCCACCTCGACCATAATTATTTGATAAAAGTTCTAAAATATCATATTCATCTAATGCATTCATAAATTATAATGCTTCATTCAATACTAAAAACTGCTGTTGTGGATATTTGTTATTTTGGGACAGTTCTTTTGTGGAATCTTTAAAAGAAATTACCTAAGAAAATCTGCATATATTTATAAAGATACTGCTTTGAACTAATGTTCTGTTTTCGTAACATTTTAAAAAATTCATATTTATACCAACAAAGACAAAATAATAACCTTATCTATTGACACTAATATACAATCTAATATTTCTAGAAAACTGGGGTGCCTTATTATTAAAATTATAGGATTGATTGTGCCTTCTATGAGTCAAACCTACTCAAAAATAAAAAATAAAAAAATAAATAAAATAAAATAAAAATCCAAAACAATCAACCATTTTATAAAAATTTTAATGTGAAAGAAACATTTAATATTATTTACAACAAATTCAATTTTATTAGCTTATTTTATAAAAACCAGATTGGCAATTAAGTATACATCACATTAATTTTTAACTTTCAGAAGTGATAAAGTACTTTATACTAAAATTTATTTTAAAATTAATTAAGAACCCTTTTATCTAATATTGTATTGCATTTAACCTCAAATATAATGTTTATTACAAAAGTGTGACTTTTGTGTTTTGATTTAAATCTGGGATTTAAAATATAACACAAAACATGACAAATAATTTTTAAGAAAGATGCACTATAGTCTAATAATAACTATATAAAAGCAGATGGTAGAAGAACATTTAAATACATGTAGTAGGTAGTATTATTTAGAAATGAATGCGTGTTTAATTTCTGTAAAAGAAAATTAAGAAATGATTTAGATTTTGAAAACAGATCATTTCAGTCATGCATCAGTTCTAAAGATTTTCCTCAAGGCAGTTAAGTAAAATTAATAATACTAGAACTATCAATAATTAATGAACATCTATTTTAGTTTTTAAAAAAGGGGGTATATATCCTTTTAATACAGTTTTAACATCAAAGAATAGATGTAAAGTACAAGTTTGCATTAATTCTTACTTTATATGTTAGAATTTCATTAAAAATAGACACAAAGTGCACTGAAGAATAGACATAAAATGCAAGCTTATATTTTAGTTCTAGCATTTAAAGTAAACATAAGATGCAAATTTGTAATAACGTTTATAGCATTACACATTTATATGGTATTTTTGATTAAAGTTATCATAAAAGTTATTAATCTTCCAAATTTATAATTACCTCTTGAGTACTTTTCTCTTCATATTGTTCAGTTTCTTGCTCTTCATCTTCTTCTATCTTACCTTTACGTTTCTTCTTGTCTAAACTACCAATCAAATTAACACCATGTACAGCAGTTTTGAACTTTACTTTGGCTTTTTCAAGACCATATAAATGCTCATCATCATCTAAATCTTCTTGAGATGTTGAAATGTATTCATCGTCTTTGACTTCCACAGTTTCAGATTCTTCCTCAGAACCTTCATAATCCTTAATCTCTCCCACATCCTCATCTTCTTCCTCTTCTACATCTTCAAATTCTTCTTCCTCTGTACCTTCAAGTTCTTCTTTTTGGTCACCTTCCAGTTCTTCTTTTCCTTCTTCCTTTTCTCCAAGTCTGTGCATACGTTTTACAGTTCCAACTTTCTTAAGAGCTTTCTGAAATTTACGTTTGGAAATTTCCTTAGACTTCTCCTCTGCTTTTGTAATTTCATCCTCCTTCTTTAAGTCATGCACTTTAATTTCATCATATTCATCAATTTCTTCATCTTGTTTTAGTTCTACAGCTTCTTTCTGCTTATCGGCAATTTTTTCCTCTTTGAATTCCACAACCTGCTTGTCGGTATCTTTCTTTCCTTTAATTTCCATAGCTTCTTTATCGGCTTCTTTCTTTAATTTAATTTTCTCAGCTTGCTTATCAGTTTCTTTCTTTTCTTTAATTTTCCCAGCCTGCTTATCAGTTTCTTTCTTTTCTTTAATTTTCCCAGCTTGCTTATCATCATATTTCCTTTCTTTAACCTTTAAAGCCTGCTCATCAGAATCTTTCTTTTCTTTATCTTTCAGAGCCTGTTTATCAGCATCTTTCTTTTCTTTAACTTTTACAGTCTTTTTCATGCCTTTGGATTCTCCTAGTCCAATTAAAGAATTGTAATTATTTTATTCAATTCAGGACATATATATACATAAATATGAAAAAAGAATGAATACAGTTCAAAATCTAATTCAATTATGCACTAAAAGCAGCAACAAATGGTGATAATAATGCAAAATAAAATAAATAAATACATATAAAATTCATCCCTTATTCAGTTTGGAAAAACACATGTAAAAACTAAAAACCAGAAGTACACTAACAAACTGGAAAAAAAAAAGGGGGGACAAAGCATGTCAAAACCAAAAATGAAATAAGAAATTTACATCTTTCACTGTATCATCATCAGGAGGTTGGTACAATGAAAGAAGAAAATAAATCAGCCTGAAATAAACCAACAAAAAAGAAAATAAAGCAACAAAAACACAAAGTTTAAAACTTAAAATAAGTTCATAAAAACAATTAAAGCAATTTGTATCTTTAGCAGTCCAACCCCTACAGGCTGAAGTAAGCAGTGTCAATAATTGCAAAATTATAATATCAAAAACATTAACAAATTTTTAAATTATTATTTTGAGTTGACCAAGTCCAAAAAACAAAACATGCAAATATAAGCAATCCAATAAATGAAAAAAAAAAAAAATATATATATAAATTTTGAATCAATACAGGTCGGATTAAAGCTTTTAAAATTTTTTTCATAGCAACAAAATCATAAACAAGCAAAAAAAGCTTTAAAAAATCTAACAACGTTAATTTCAGTTTAAAGTCCCAAAAACATCTAGAATAGAAGTAATTCAACATATGAAAATATGAACTAAAATTACAAAAAAATTCAATTAAAAAAAAAAAAAAAGAAAAAGAAAAAAGAAAAAAAAAGAAAGACAGAAAGAAAGAAAGAAAAGAAAGAGAAGAGCTAATTTTTTAAATTTGTAACATTATAGGAACAAAAGTTTTGAAATGAAAAAATATATTCATTCTCTTTGACAGCAAAATACCTTTGCCTATAATAGGATAAGTAAGTGATTTAGCTAAATTACAAATTTTAAACTGATAAATAATAAATATAAAAAGGGGGGAACCCTCCATTGCAACATTAAATACACTAGAAAAAGGTTCTAATTAAGGCTTCTAACTGTGTTAATCAGAGCCTGTTGAACAATAATTAACATTTATTGTGAATGACATTAAATAGTGCTTAATATGCCTTATGTGTTGAGCAAACTCTGGCTAAGATAGTAGTAATATGCAAAAATTTACCTCCAACAGCTTATATTTTTAGCTCCGAAAAGTCAATAAATACTCTAACGTGTTGTAAGCATTAAACTTGGTTTTAGACTGACTGATTGAAGACTGAAAACCATAAACAAGAAGTACTAATTTTAAATAAATTTCCCCATGCAGAAAATGAGAGAATTTGGAGAGGAAAAAGTGCAGTGAAGTGCTCACATGGGAAGGAAAGCAATGATTTCCATGGTGCATATACAATAATTTCCATAGTGCACACCCTTTTTTAATTCTGACTGGTTGTCATAAAGCTTTGAGCACCAAATACTAGTGATTTTTGAAGAGCTTCTATGAATTATATGTAACTGAGTTAGTTTCTTTAATTGTTTAACATTATGCGCTCTGCTGAATACAAATATACCCTAACGACTAGAATTACAAAATTAGATTGCAACAATTTTGCATTCTCTTCTCAGTAACCCACGAAAGACATCTGAGACTTCCAAATTTCACCAAAAGAAACCTTTTCTTAGCCCTCAGCATACTGTAAATGAAATTCATTTGCCAATTGAAAGGACAAAGGCACAATTCAAAAACAAAAAAACTATAGGAATTACAACCAGATATCTGTAAACAATTTATATCATTTAAGGTTACCCTAAGCGGCAGGTCAGATGTTGCTTAGTTGCATGACTGTTTGTAAGAATCTTTGGAGTTAGGAGAAGATTAAAATTACTGGTCCAGAGTCTTCCATTAATATATATATTATATATAATTATATAGATATATATTAATAGATATATATATATAAGCTTTATAATTAGAAACAGAGCAAACTGTTGGTCATCTTCTGCTGGTCGAAATTTAAAAAATAAAAATAAATTTAAAAAATGATTTGCTTTCATTTAGGGAGATAAATGCAACTCCATCCTGCTGGCTACACCCATTGATGTGAATAAATAGTTACATTAGCATATTTTTTCCTCAATAATTCTTTCAACTTCAATACAGTGATTAAAAAAAATCACAAATATACAACACACTTTCATCCTCTTCAGGTTTTTTCTTCTTTTTAAAAAACATTTCCATGGCTGTTTTCACTGCAGGTTTCATTTCACTAATTTCACTTAGTTCAGCAGCAGCATGTTTCTTAGAAGCATCAGCTTTCACTTTTCCTGGAATCGTACCTGTTTGCTCTTCAGACTCATCTTTGTCAAAAATACGTGGGAGGATTTCTTCACTTTCAGATTTGAATTCAAATCTTGAAAGCATTCCTGTAATTCACAGTAATATTCTGTTACTTTATTATTATATTTGAAAACAGGTAGCATGATTTTATAGCCATCACTCTGGAATAAAACCAGAATAAATAAAGAAAATTTCCCATAGCAGTTGCATACATACATAAATACATATGTGTATGTATATATACACAGCACAGCACACCACACCACACATTTATCCAAAATTCTAACTTTAATTTACACTATTCCCTTAAGTTACACTTTTAATTTGGTTAGTTCTTTTTTCTATCCTGAGAATAAGAGCATGTTTATAATAAATCTTTCGCACTGAATCATTTAAAAATTAATTTAATCAATCTTTGTCATATGCTTTCTATATAATGTACATGATAATTGTATTTACTGAATGCAAAAGTCTTTTAGCCAACATTAATGTTAAATTTTGCAAACCAAAACCTTATTAATCAATGATAATAAAGGAGAACCACAAATCCACTATTCTTAACCTAGCATTTTTTGTAATCTATGTTCTCTTCTCACATTTGTTTCTATTCTGTTAATATGTCTGCCATTTCTCTTTCCACCTTTTTTGTTGTTGTTACCAACTAGAACTATGTGAAACATAACTTTTAATTTCAGAATAGCAAGAGTGCCCATCTTTGCATTTGTTAATAATTTGTGTTTATGTAATAAATAATGCATAAAAAATATAATGGAATATCCACAACTGCCTCTTTTTAGAACAAAAATCACCAGTAAAAAAATAAACATGTTATATGTTACAATGCATAATTTTTATTACATACATATATAGATACATGCATAATAACCACGCACACATATTATATAATTATATACATACATATAATTTTTATTATATATACATACATAGTTCTATATATATACATACTATATATTAATATATGCAAAGAAAAAGGTAAATACATGCAAAGAAATAGAATAAATATTTATAGAAAACAAAGGGAAGAAGTATACATGCTATCTAAGCTTAAGCTATTAGTTTTTCCAAAACATTTTATATTATTGAAATAGTAGACTGAGCATCACAATTATTGAAATAGTATTCTGAGCATCACAATGTATCAAGAAGCATCACAATGTATAACATATACACCAAGAAATAAATTGCTTAATTGCTAAAGCAATTATAATTTGCTTAATTGCTAAAGCAATTATAAGCAGGTGCCAAAAATGCCAAAGAAACATTCCCCCTACCCTAATTTTCATACTGGATAGTTTTCTTTGCTACACACAGAGAAAATTCATGAAATATACAAGATGATCAAATATGCCACATAACTAGCCCAAGTAGTGAGAAAAGAGTCAGAATATTTTTATTTTCTTTTCAACAGGATAAGTGGTCATGTTACAATTGTTCATCATGATACGGCACATGAATCACCACTATTTTCATGTGCTTGGTTTGAAATGTGAAGTTTTTACCAAGATCAACAGCATAAAGAATTTCTTGTAAAAATGTAGGAAACATTGCAAACAAAAATGAATTCTTATATGATGAAGGATTAACACGTTGACTGCCATAGGGGTCACTGGTAGCTGGCACTCGGCTACAGCGCCGTTGGGGCTATAAATTTTTAAATAGTTACCATTGTTAAAATAGTTAAATAGTAACCATTGTTACTATAATGATTTGAAGAATAATAAATTTTAAAAATTTAAATTACAAATCCCAATAATGGTCTGCAGAGCCTTGGGGGGTCACCGGCGACCCCCACCACGAAAAATACATTAAGCATGATTATATAACTTGCTTAATCTTATCTTCTGTAGATAATATTTCAACATAATATACATCACATAGTAAAAATTTCAAGTTGGTGTCATGGGCAAACCACGTAAAATGCGTGCGGCAGTCAACCTGTTAAATGGGACATGCAGTTAGAACGAAGTTAAAAAATTAAATATTCTAGGTTATCATGCTGAATCACATTTAAATGTAAGTAGTACATGTTGATGGAATGAATGGCTCACTCAAGATCTCCTCTTTTATAACTTTCTTTAGGGTTATTGTACTTCTCAGAAGTGACATCCAGACATATGAAAGGTTGAGACGAAGAACTCTGTTGCAACACTATCTAGTGTAGATTTCTAATGCTTCTCTGAATTTGAAACTAATTTTATGCTTTTTTAATTTTGTTTTTATGAGGTTCTTTGGTAACAATTTTGGCTTTGCCTCATTCAGTTTTTGAGTTAAGATGCTCCAAGAAGTAGTTAACCAAAGACATGTGCTGTATTCTTGGAGTTACTGACTGGCAGACAGTTTATAAACATTTTATGATTGGCAATTTCTACCGATAATTTTTTAGATGTCAAACCAATATATTGAGTTTCTGTTTTTGTATTTTCATTGTGAATTGAGTTAATATACGCAGCAAAAATATCTGTTGTGTATCTGATTTGTCTGTATTTAATAATTTTTAATGAATGGGGTTGGAGTTATGGTAAATTTATAACCAAATCCTTTGAAATTGGAACTGATGCATAAGGTAATCGGATAATAAGGGAATGCTCCAGTGAGTTTACTTCTATTTGAATCTTGCATTGGTAGCAACTTAACTTTTTGAGATACAATTGCAGAAGCTTGTCTATCATACAAAATTTTTTATGTGTTGCCAGATGTTTTTTCTTAAGATGAACATGTTAAGAAATTGAATGCCATTATTAGGTTCTCTATTAATCATAAGCTGTAGGTTGGGAAAGTTTTCTGAGATAAATGAAAATAGTGCATTAAATTCATCTTCCGGATGTTTTCATAGGACAAATATATAATCAACATACCTCTACTTAAAAAATTACTTTTTTAATGGGGAGGGGGACTTGGTGAAAACGAAATTTTCCTTATGTTGCAAATTAATTTTAGCCAAAGTGAGTGACATGGATGTTCACATAAGAAAGATCTTGTTATTTATACAGTACACACTTCTCATTATTTTACAGTATAGACTTCCCATTTTATAGCTTGTTGGCCCTACTACCTATAAAACTGTAAATGAAATGGAAAGCTTCATAAATATTAACAATGAATTTGGATGTAGTTCTTAGTTTTCACTAAAATCATTTGAGATGACATTTAATATCGATGGCAAACATAGTAATATCAAAAATGATTATATTTGACAACTGCACATGAAATTTACTTAATATGTTATCCTCTATAAAAGTGAAGCATAGTTTGGCAAGCTTTTATTCAAATTTCTTCAATGGTGAAATTCTAGCAAAACAACATTTACACATCTAGATTTAAACATCCAGTCTGCATCTGAATTCCTCCTTGTTGCACTTGAAAAATACAGCTGCTATCTGTTATGAAAATTTCAATGGATGTGTGAAAGTGCAAAATATAACTTTGAGCAATTTAGCTAGTTTCTCATTCATCTTGTCATATGTATAGTATTTATTCTACAGAAACCAAGAATGTTTACATTTTCCCCATACACAATATATAACTAATAAATATTTGTTTCATGGTCTTCTAATTTAAACATGCTTTAAAGCACATTAAAAGCAGTTTGAAAGTTATCAAATTATAATCACTCACTTTAAAAACCTGAAGATAAAATATTTTACTAAATATAAAATTAGTAATACAACAACCTTGAGTTTGGCATAGATTTAAGTCAAGATCTCAATTGATTTCGAGGGAAAACAGGTGCAGATCCCTCTTTATTAAGAGCAAACAAATCTGCAAGAACAGTCTTGCAGATTTTCTTGCTCCTCATGTAGTAGGACCTGTACCTGTTTGCCCTCGAAATTGATTGAGATCTTGACTTGAATCTATGCCAAACTCAAGGTTGTTATTTTACTAATTTTATGTTTCACTTAGCATGTTTCTGTTCTGCTTTTATTTTACTACATCTCACATTAATGGAGCTAAACTAAAAAACGTAAACAAATGTTAAGAAAACTAACACTCTATTAAAATTTTTAGTACAGAAAATTGAGCAAAGTTGAAAAAATTATTTTTCATTAAAAATAATATATTAATTGAGTACCATAAAAGTAAAGTGAAGATAAAAACATAAAAGGGAAAAATAAAATACCAGCTAGTCCCTCCATTTCAGTTTGATATTTGGATCCAGAATATACACACTCCTAAATTTAAAAAATGGATTCAGACATTACATGATTTAGAGTATAATTCAGAACTTAAGGAACTTAGTTAAATCAGATAACATTACATATGTAAGCATCGCTGAGCAGTGGTAAGTCAGTCCAAGGTTCAAATCCCCCGAACGGGCTGGCTGCATGAGCATTTTCCCCATGTGTAATGTGTAATGTGTATACGAGCCAGCTTCCCTTAGAAAGTCCATCATGAAGGCATCCCTCCTCTTAGGCTAATAGCCCTTGAAGCTTTAATTTCTTATGAAACTTTAATTTTTTACAAATACGAGTTAATTACATTGAAAATATGTTTTCTGGTTGCACAATCAGATAACTCATGACAGCATAAAAATTGATTAATTATATCATTTTCATGAATGAATTAAACAAATGCAATTAATTGTGCTTTTCCCGTAACATATGTTGTTTCGTCTGTTTGTAGAGCACAGTTCGAATTTGCAAGAGTTTTTGTAATATTTTCTTCAATATTTCCAGACATGTCTTTAATGCTGCGATGAATTGTATCATTTGAAAGTGGTATTTTACAAATATCAATATCTTCTGATCCACCAATCATTATTTTTACAATTTTGTGACAAGCTGGTAATATAATTTGTTTAGTGTTCTTCTTTTTTTTATTAGGTTTTAATTTTACTGCAATTAATTCAGCTATTTTATAAGAAGCTATCTCAGCTTTTTGAGACACACTAAGTCATTTTTCGAAAACGTTTACTTGTTTGAATTTTGCAGATAATGATTTTTGAAAGTAGCTTTTGTCTTTTGAAGCAAGTGAAAGATGGTTAGTAAGAAAGTGTCATTGGAGCTTGCTCAGAACCATAGCACTATTTGATAATTTACTACCACAATCCAGACACCCAGGAACAACTATATCATTTTCGATTGTAGATGTAAATCCTCATTTTAAGAAATCATCATATTTCCGAAGAACAATATGTTTTTTGCAGGAGGAAACATCTTTATTTGTACTGGGCATCGGCTCTGCTAACATCATCATTATCACCATTAAGTTTTCTTCTTATTAACCATTTATCAATTTAAGAAGGTTCTTTTAAAGTAAAAATATTTTTTCAAAAAATTATTTAAAATGCTGAACCTTTCAATACCCTTTATTTAAGTTTGAGAACGCAATACTACATAGCATATATTTAAATTCATAAATTCAATCACACAGCAAGCATGTAAATAGTAAACTGAACCAGTATATACGAGGGCAATCCCAAAAAAAAAAGGTCTCCTATTTTTCGGGAACGTAGAAAAAGTTTTAATACGGTTGTTAGCAACACTGTTGTGAGTGGTGCCTTCTCCGCTACCACATACGCATGCAGGTGCTTCGCTCGGATGCTCAGTCTTGTCTTGGCAGCCATTCGAAATGGAACTCCCAATAAACGTTGCCGCCAATTGCGAAGTGTGCGCAGTTATTCGATTTTTGAACGCAAAAAACGTTAAACCGGTTGAAATTCACCACCTATTGACAGAAGTGTATGGACAGTCGTGCATGGATGTTAAAAATGTTTGCAAGTGGTGTAGAGAGTTTACAGCCGGTCGTACTGAAATTCATGACGAAGAAAGGAGTGGGAGGCCGTCAATTGCCGATGAGACAATCACGAAAGTTGAGGAACTCATGCGTAAAGATCGGAGGATCACTCTGGATGCTCTCTGCATTTTGGTTCCAGAGGTTTCCAGAAGCACCATCCACAGGATTTTAAAGGAAAAGTTGCAATATCGGAAGGTGTGTGCAAGATGGGTGCTGCGTATACTGACAGAAGACCACAAACGGCAACAGGTTGATTCTTCCCGCGAATTTCTTTGCCGCTACGGAGACGAAAAGGACAATTTCTTGGACTTGGAAAGATGAGGTTCAACGCTTCCTGAAGGGCATGGCGGCAAGCTGGTATGACATGGGCATTGTAAAACTGCCACAGCGTCTACAAAAATGCATTGACCGAAATGGCGATTATGTTGAAAAATAAAGCAATCTTTAAAGTGATGTAGCAATTATAGAAAATAAACGGTTCTTTGTATATCTAAAAATATAGGAGACCTTTTTTTGGGGATTGCCCTCGTAGTTTTCCTTGGGTTTAATCCAGAACTGTAGTAAAATAATTACAAGCATCATATATATATGTATAATACTTCAAAAAAATTCATATATATGTATAATACTTCATAAAAAATCATTATATATGATAATACTTCATAAAAAATTCATATTTTCAATTATATCAGGTAAGATATATTAATTAATATTAAAAATAAATTACTATTAACAATCTACTATGAGATGTATGTTACACTACGCATAATCAAGATTGCCAGATATTAAATACACATATAAAATTATAGGTTTTTTCAGACATTCAATTTTTTTAAATGGCCTCTTATATTATTAGATGTATGTATGCTATGTAGTCTTATATTAGAGATGTATTTTATAAATCTGCATTTATTATATTTTCTTTATTTATTATTCATTTTTCGTTCTACTATTTTAAACAACTACAAGATTATTTAAAACTCTTTTAAACTGACAACTTGTTAAATAAAAATCTCTGAAGGTATACAATTGATTCGAATAAAATAGTTGAATTTTGAATTGGAGCCAACTCCTCGATGGGCAGAGCACACAATCTGGTAAGTTTGACTTCTATGATGGTTTCCATCTATCACGAAAGGATAAGTTAAATATACCACAAATACCCTTAGTTTATTTCTATAAAACGGTTGAATAATACAGTTCTGGATTTTATTTTTTTTCTTAGAGTATAATTCTTAATTTAAAAAAAAAACTGGCAGTACAAAAAAGTGCCATGGCACAGTGGTCGAGAATCACTGATTTAAATATTAAAAAAGCTAATATTCAGATATTTAAATGTGCATTACTTAACCTTTATATACATTTACTTAACTCTTTCCCTGTTCATATCAGTGTATGTATCATCTACATTTTTTTCTTTACTACACATACTTCTTTCTTTCTAAATATCTATATTCCTAGGACAAAAATAACAAAGACTTGAAATAGAACACATTTGCCTGCATTATTTTTTATTGCTTAATCTGACATTCTATTTTGTAATGTTTATTATTCATGGATATTGTTACGAATTTTGTATTTAGATAGGTAATTTTAGCAGAATTATAATTAAAATCGTTGTATTTTTGTTTAATGTAGCGCAAGACAAATTTTAAGAGAAAGCTATGCCGAAAAAGTAAGAATACAGGGGCATGTGCATTTAACATTGAGTAAATGGGCATCTTGGTAATTTGCATTGAAATTGAATAAATGTAATTGTTCACTATGTTAGCTGTAACCATAATTCCATATTCATATTGCTTTCCAGTAATTTCGAGGAGCAGAAGTACTAGAAATGCCTTGTGGCTGGTTGAAAACTAGTTAAGGCCGAAGAGAAAGCATCTGCTCTCAGTTGCTTAGTTACTGTTGTTGCGAGTTGTTTAATTATGTGTGACTGAAATATCTAAGTTAGCTTTCTCTTTAGATGTGCTTTGCATTGCATTGTATTTCATGTTCTTAGTAGTTTGAAGTGTAACTACTGATTATACTGGAGACGCTTGTACAAATATTTCTGTGGAAAATTCCAGAGTTCTGAAATATTTCTTTTAATAAAAGAATTAATTTTTATTAACCTATTATCGGACTTGTGCATTCAAACTATTACAAACCTGTATGTACACAACAATATGCATTACAAAATATGTATACAGCACACCTATACAGCACACTTAGTTGCTCAGACGTTGCAGTGACATCTCAATGTTGCATTTTCTTGTCATTACATTTGTGAACACGGTACAACGTCACAGAAATGTTGCATTATGATGTGGATGTCATACGGATGTGACATACATGCCGCAGCAAACGTTTAATCTGACCACAAGAAATTCGCAGTCTCCCCCCTGACCTTTCTTGACCTTGCTTACGTAATTCTTCTTTAATGGGAGGTATTCTTGTGTGCTGACCTCCCTCTCCCCCCAATTCATTGCTATGTGTTTCAGTAAACCTTTCTAAATAAATGATTCTTTTATGCTAATATCTTACAATTTTAGTTATTTCTTTTTTATTAAAAATATTAGCAGTTTTAGCATGTTTTTATTGATCTGGTACTTCAAAATCATTGAACTATTCTGTGGTGAATAGATTCACATTCTACCGTATCTAGTGTTATCAAGAAAGACTGACGAAAGAGTTTGTTGTCTGCATAGTGTTTGTTTGCTTTAAGGATTTTTGCGACCATTTTTTTAGTTCTGTTCACCAAACACATCGTCTGTGCTACATTTTCAAGTAAGCACTGTTTATTGTACATTGAAGTGAATGATATCAGTAATAATTAATATGTGATAATAAAAACATAATTTAAATATTATGAACAAAAAGAAATACTGGCAGTAGATTAACTTTTACTTGTATTACAAAGAGTGCGGAAGCAAGAGCCATTATCAAAAGTCATCTTATTTTTGTTTCACTGCTTAGAAATTTTAATTAGGGAGTCAGGTTTATTTGGTAGTATAATTCACTTTTGTTTTTTTAATGTTAAAGATAATGTGACAAAAGAACTGATTTATGCATTTTACTGCAGTACTTTCAATGTGTTCAGCTATTTTTTGAAATTATTTACAAAATAATTACTTACTTCCATGCGTGGTACTTAGCGTCACATTATAAATTATGCCAAACTTCCATGACCCCGTTTTAGTTATATAGAACACATTTTTTTTTAATTATTATAACTTTACAAATGGTGTATTACTTTAAAACACTGAACTTTCCTACACGTTTCCTATATGTAAATTTCTGAAATTAGTTTTCAAATTTATTTTATCAGATCTTTTGTTTTCACAAATTATGTCACACTTTTATGTATAATATATTTGTAATGTTAAAGTAACCCAATTTCCTTATTAAGATATTTAGTCAGAGAAAAATATTTCCTAGTTTAGGTCAAATTATTTGA